GCGTTGTATTTTGGGTCTGTTCAGTGCCGGTGCCGATTTGGCAATGTACAGGGCGCTTTGCGCACGCTTTGGCAACGGAATCGCACGAATTTACATTGCCCTTACCACTCTTTCAACAGGCATGTTCATTTCCAGGTAATTTCTCTTTCATTCTATTAGCCGAAACTGTTTGCTTCACTTGAGATAACCAATCCCTCTACGGTTCCTTCATTCATTCGTTTCGATGGTAAATTGGTAAGCTGACATATGCCAGGAGGAAGTTAAACTCATCATCCCCATTTCGCACCAATTTAGTCGTCTGTGTTTAAAGTTCAGGGATGAAACAAAGACGTCACCCAATGCAAATACTGGTTAGCTTAAATAAGATTATAAAATTTGGCTTCTTTTCAGAATATTAGATGAACATATTCGACTATTCTCTTCCTCTTTTCTCTTCCAACCCCCATTTTATTTCATTTGTTATGTCGCTGCACTTTGTCAGCAGTAATGCTACTCTTTCCGATACTTTCTTGTAAACAACTTTGGAAAAAAGGGCTGTTTTTGACAGTTTTGCCAGCGAGTGGTCGCTGCTGATATTTGCTACCACTCGGGCCACTTCTCGAATGCTTCCGGTTCTCACTGAAAGTGAAAACGAAGAGGGTTTTTGATTTTTTGATTTGTCTTGCATCGGTGCAGCCTGAGTGCTCATTCTGAATGTTATTCTTAAGTCTGCAATATTTATGAATGATGCTTAGAGCTATTGGGAATTGAGATCGGCGATGTCGGAGCTAGCGTTACCGCCTATGGGGATGCCCTTGACTTGTCGAAAGATGTAGCTGCTGAAACGCACATAAGCTTCGCCGACAACCGTGCGCAGTATACTGCCGATTTCCGAAGAAGAATAGGTTGTACCGTGACCAAATCCTGTTGCATGGTTGACATAGCGAATAGTCTTGGTGGTGATATGCAAACTCTTGTTTACTTCTACATCCCATCATCTCTACCTCCAGGATTGACCTGGATGCTCAACCTAATTACCATGCAAAAGTCCCCTGCCGTTGAGTTTCATCATTTATGTTCCTGCAGCTCTAGAAACCTACGAAACGCGCCCCATGAAAAAGAAAAGAGGGAATTTTAAAAGGACCTATGAGCCCAGGACATGATAATAAAAAGTTATAATAGGAAAGAATGGGAAAAAGAGGAAAAAAAGAGAAAGGAAGATGAGAAATGAAAATTAGAAAATTTATGAGATTATTATAATGGTACGAAGTTTTCGGTCCATTAACTCGTATATATTTCTTACCATTACCACAGCTGGACCTCGTCAGTACGACGATCGTGGTAATTGAACTTAGTGAAAGTTAGGGTTGAATTAATTGTTTAATGCATTCAAACTTACTCTGTCCATGTTAATGTGTCGCAGCGGAAAGATTCATCAGTACAGCTTCCATCTCACCATGACCCGAAACCAGTGAAAGCAAGAAAATGAAAAAAATTTCACATCTTCCCTGATGATTCAGAAATTAAACGCCTAGTGAACAATTTATTGTCATAAAAACCTCTTCCTAATAATTACATATGATAATTGTCCGTATCATTTGTTAATTTTCCTTCTTTCCTTCCTCTCTCACTCTCTTGCTTATTCACTTATAACTCTCTTTCTTTTCTCCTTGCAAATTAGTTGCATGACTGTTCATAACATGACGGGTGGGAGGCTATACTGACGATTCCCGCTCCTACCCGCATGCATAGTTCGGTCTGTGTATACAGCTAAGGGATAAAACACAGAATTCCGAGACAGTAAAATGTCCTTCGGCATATGACCCTCAAGACCAATCCTTCCATTCTACTATTTCAAACGTGGCCGATCTAGCAGTGTAATTACTGCAAAGTTGCCAGTATCACACTCACAGACATAAAATTGCACAGGAGTTTATAGCCAGAAGCGCAGAGTGAGCTGCCCAAACCTGCATTTTTTTTGCTTTTTTTTTGGCCAACCACACGTTTGTTTGACTGTAAAAGTGTTGCAGTTGTGCTTTCCTTCCATCATCGTTCAGTATGTCTGCAAATCTGCTCGCGCTGGCAGCTTATATCACTGAAGATTGGTAAGTTTTTTTTCTCTTGGGATGATAAGTACTGGCCATTAGAAGGCCAAATCATAAGTGAA